CAAAATAAACCTATCAGAGTGAGCCATATTCTCTTTTACTGCTAATCTGGTTTAATGCTATGGCCAAGACCAATACTTGCAGTTAGAGTTATCTATTAAACTGCTATTACTTTTATAAAGTTTATCCGAACTCTGGTACTTGTCTTTTCAACTTCTTCTTCATTATTCTCTACTAGCTACAATTCGAAACTAACTAACTTTTTAGACTTCTAATTCAAATAGCCAAATATAGTATACTTATGTATTCTTTTTCTTCAGTAATTCTGGCAGCCTGGTTGGTTATATGCTTCTCTATACATATTGTTATCCAGTTTATCTAATAGTTCTTATAAATGTGTTTCATGGGCTTTTATTAATCTAATAGCATCATCAAAAGTTTTTTTTTTTTCAGGTTTAAAGAGCAATGTTTATGGCTTATGATCTTTTATTAAGACTTACAACCTACAAATATTGTAGGGGGATATTACATTTTGCATATCAATGAGGCTACAATTAGCCACTTGTACAACTTTAGTCATTGTCTATTTAAAGGTTTCACCTACAGGTTATCTACTAATTGCTATATCTGAAACCTGCCTGTAGATTCCTTATTTAAAGTCTCTGATTTTCAATATTTTTTCTATAGTATCAACTTAATTTTTTAATAATGAATCTTAGGGTTACTTTACTCTTGATGCAAACTCTACCAAATGGAAATAGATCTCACAACTACACCTATTTGGATTTATGATGCCAAAGGTGATTCTATATTAGATAAGGCCAATCCTTTTCACAACATTAATAACATTTTTCACATTTTTTACTATAGTAATACCTGCACTCTGCCATACTGGTTTCCTTCTAGAAATTCCTTAGATCAAATATGTACCTTCACTTGGACTTTCACAGGGCTTCGCATCTGATTATAGGCTCTATTTTTGGTTATAGAGTATTTTTATCTTTAGCAAGACTTGAACCATTGACCTTGTCTGTGAGGGAATGAGAGTTTAACAAATAAGCTATAGGACTTAACCCTATCATTAAAAGTTTGTACTATCTCTTTACTCAAGATTTCCAAGTAGGTTTCTGTCTTCTTAGTTTTTTAGTCTTTCATGCCTGGTGGTCTTATCACAGATTTGCACTGAAGCCTTATATGACACTGGTTTTTTATATTTCTATATATATATATAATGTTATACTTTATATAAATGCCCTAAGCTCTCAATGTTAAGTAAGACCTAACTTGATATATCTAAAATTACAGATACCCAAAATCTAACTAATCAGCAAAAAACAGTTATTGTAACACAAATATAATTTTCAAAATTCATTATTCATAGAAATTGAACCTTAAACCTGCTATTTAAGAGTTAACAACCTATTCACTTCACTAGATTACTATACCCTTAATCTAATTTTTTTGTTCATATTATATTAGCTATATTTATAATTAAATTATTGTTTTTTCTTTTCATTCTTTTTTTTGTTATTATATATTATGTATTATTTGAGATAGAGTTCTGTAGTCTAATGGTCTAGGTACCTCTCTCTTCACAAACAAATTTGATGATTCAATTCTAGCTAAAGGCAAAAACTCTATAATCTATAGAAGCATATAAATATATATAAAGCCCTATAGCTAAGTCTATATAAATAAAAGATTAGTATATAAGGAAGTTCTTAAAAAGAAGTTTCCTAATATGGAGAGTTAGTGCTTAATGTGAGAGATGCGATGAACATACCAGAAATGAAGAGAAGACACACTAGTAAGTAATATGACAAATATAAAAAGAAGATATAGAAAAAAAATAAACTTACTAAAATTTGAACACTTCTGGTTTTAAAACCAGTTTAGTAGATATGAGATATACTAAATTGATCTAAGTGATAATCTTAGTACTAGCTTAGTAAGTTTATGTCAAGAGTAAATTCAAAGAAATATGAATACTTAGTAACATTCAATAAAATGATACTTTGATATAAATAGTAACTAAGATAGCTTTAATCTGAGATGTCATAACAATAGTAATATAAATATTATATATATATGCAATATGTATTGAAAATTAGAAAGTTTAAATAGGAAACTTATAGACAGGTCTTAGGTATGACATTTAGTAGATAACCTATCAGAGAAACCCTTAATTAGATAATGACTAAAGTTAAATATGTAACTAGATATACTTCTGTTAATAGACTATTGTATATAAAAATATGTAATCATATATTATTTAATAAAGACATATAGGCAAGATTGCTACTTCAAATAGAAAAAAAAATTATGTATTATTTTATATACTTGCTATAGCTACTGCACTATCTGTGTATATTTTAATTTTGCTTTTGCTTAGTACTATAAAAACTATATACCAAATAGCTAACAGCTTTATTTTTGTTAAAGAAGGCTATCCTTTAGCATTAATAGTATCTTTATTTATTATATACTTTTCTTTATTGTTTACTTGCATCCAACTAGCTTCTATATAGTTTGGATCTTGGGTTTTTTTTTCTTGTTTTTACTAATGATCCATCTGTATAAAAGATTAACTTTTCTTGTTTGGCATTGTTTCTTTTAATGTACTTATATTTTTCTACTAGTAACTTTGTAATTCTATTACTAATTTTTTGTTTCTTAATTATTTTAATGTTATTATTTTTTATACAAATCTTTTTTAAATATTTTTCAAAGTCTAAAACCTTATAATCATTTTTCTGTACAATAAAATCTAACATATTTGTATTAATTTTTAGTTGCTATACATCTTTTCTATTTGTGTATTTTGTAATTGTTTTATGAACTTCATGTTTTTTGTACTTTCTCTTACAACTATCACTAATACTATTGTTTTTATGCCTGCAGCTTCTATATTTTTCTAGTATTGTTTTTTGTTTTTCTAGTTGGTAACTTGCTTTCTGGTATTTAACTTGTACTGTTTTAGACATTTTAGTTACTATTCTTCCTATTACTACTTCTTTTTCTTTATGAGATAGTGTATTATTTATAACTATTCAATCTTTTTGTCTTGTATCATCTGATAGTTCTTCTAATTGCACTTTGATTTTTCCTTTGTTTGAAGCTGCAATTCTATATTTTGGCTTTACTATTCTGTAGCTTGGCTTTTTTATTATCTTTGCTTCTAGAATTTTGAACCATTTAGCTAGTCTACCTTTGATATTGTCTTTTTTTAGAAAACTTAGTTGCTGTTATATAATTATTTTGTTTTCTTCTTTGTTAATTAACTGATGCACAAACATAATGTTTAACTTTTTTAGTTTATGTGTAACTATTAATGTAAAATTTTTTTCTAAAATTTCATATATTCTTATATTTTTATTATTATAAATTAGGTTTTTATAGTTAAAGTTCAAAACTAATTATAGTTCTTTTGCTTTTAGTATTGTTAAACATGCTAAATTGTTTTTTATAGCTTGTGCTTGCTCTAGGAATATTTTTTTGCCATATGTTTTAGATGCTCCTATTAAATGAAAACTATCTTCTATTTTTATATTAATTACTGCTTCTTTTAGGTCTACTATATTAAGTCAATTATGTAAACTGATAATTTGCTTGAGCAATAATTAGTTTTATAATAAGTTAAAGTTACTCAAGTTTCTGTAATACATTATGCTATTTCTTACAAATCATGTGATTTCTATTTTTTTTTTTGTCAGACCAATTATTGGTATATATATTGATTATTGTATTTTTTAATAATCTTGTTGTTTGTAACATGTAGGTTAACTTGGATATAATGTATATGTTGTTAATATATGATATTTGGCTAATTGTTAGCTTTTTTGGATTTAGGTTCTTTACAAATGTTTATACTATTTTTTTAGCTTTTGACTTTATCATAAATTCTTTAAGTTTGCAGTTTAGCTAAAATTTTAAACATTATATAATCGTATTTTCACTTTTTCTTGAATCTATTTTTTGCCAAAAAAAATTGTTTTATTTTTCTTTTCTTCTTTAGTGTTTATTATAATAAGTTTGGTTTTTTTTTATTAATTTGTATATTATTTAAGTTATAGAACTCTTTTGCTATTTCAATAATTTTTTTTATTTGTCTTTTACTTAATGCAACTTATGTTATATTATTCACATATGCTATTATAGCTTGTCTCTATATTTTTTTCTTTTGCATCATAGACTTTATGTTATTATTGTATGAAGTGCACAATGTATAGTCTAGACTTGGATCATTTTGGATTCTTTTTAATAATAGGTTATAAAATATTCTCTATACTAAAGATAAGATTACTATACTTTGTTCAATGTCATCTTTAATTTTAAAGACTGCTATTGTTTCTAAGTCTGTAATAATTTTTGATTATTGATTTTTAAACAAATTTAAAATAAAATTAATTGTTATTTTTAGTATTTTAAGTTTTTTAAGTGCCAAATCTAATGCTACTAATAATGCTGAGTTAAAGACTTTTTTTATATCTTGTAATACTAGCCAAAGTTCTTTTTTTTTTTTTTTAAATATTAAGGTAAGTACTTGCGATCTAGGATTTTATTGATAATATATTTGGCTAATGATTGCTTTATAACTACAGAGGGCAACCATGAAGAGAGTGTACAACTAGCCACTTGTACAACTTTAGTCATTGTCTAATTTAAGTAGTTTGCCTGAAGGTTCTACACTAGCTGCCATACCTGGAACCCACTTGTAGGTTCTCTATTTAACCATTCTGTTTCCATATTCACTCACCTACTTCTGCCTACCAATGACTTTGGCTGATGCTGATGAAAATATGCCATGGCCACTAAGTCTTTAAAGCAGTTCTTTAGAACCTTTGACCTTTGACCTTGTACTAAACCTTCCAGAATCTTCTGTATCCTATTCTTATAACTGACCTAGTATCACTATAACTGAGACCAACACTGGCAGTCAGGACATACTATTAAACCACTATGCCCTTGTAAAGTTCATTCCAACCCTAGTACTAACTTCACAACATATCCTTACTACTTTGGTATTTAATTCAAGTTTCACCAAGTTAACATTTCAGATAGCTCAGAAAGATAGGTTAAAACCATACACCTCTGGTTTATATGTTTGCTGACATGTACCCTTTTTCTTCAGAACTCGAAAATTTTGACAGCCTAGTTGGTTCATCTGATACCTTCTTAAAGACTGGCATATTTGCCCAGTTTCACAAGTTTCAGCTCTGTTTTATAAGTCTAGTCTTTATAGTAGCACTATCAAAAGCTTAGATTATCTCTCTACTTAGGTCTTCCAAATGGGCTTCCATCTTTCTTCTATTGGTTCCTATGATTTACATGGCCATGAGGACTTATTGTAGGTTTGCACTGCCTGGTACCAGTTTGCATTCCTTCATGTAACTACAGACCTTGTTCTAAAGAACAATGTCATATGACTATTACACAAATGCCATGTAACCTGCCAGTTATGCTAGTGTGATATAGATTACAGGTGTCTTATCTCAACCAATTGCAAGAACAATTAACTATAACACAGAAAGAATTTTTAAATTTTCTGTCGACACTGGGATTTGAATTCTGGATCTGCTATTTGGAGGTTGACAATCTAACTACTAGTTCTTTTTTATTATCTTTTGTATATTTCATTATTGCATTAATAATGTATACTAGTTCTTTTGTTAACCTATCTGGCAACCTTGCAAAATTTGGCTCTTTTAATATATTTTTCTTTTAAAATATTTATATTAATCTTTTAGTAAATATTTTGGTTATGCATTTTTGCAAGGTTTTTAACAATGCTATTAATCTTATATTGCTCAGATTATATTGCCAATCTAAGTCTTTTAGTATAAAGTAAATTTGTAACATCTTCTATTTTCTGAGTATTAATTCTGTTTTAATGTATATTTCTGTCAGTTTTCTAAAAAAATTTTGGATTTGATTGCTAGCTGTTTTATTAGCATGTAGATGATTCTTAACATACTTAAGACTGTATTATTTTTAAGTTCTAATAACATTTCTAGTTATTCTTCTTCTGTAATGTTCTAATTTAGCTATTTATACTAATTTTCTTTAATTTTTTTTTTGCTAATATATTTTATTTTATTTATTTTTAATCTTTGGCTTTAAAAGTTTCATATTCTGAATTGTTGCTAGAAATGCTTTTTGGTTTTTTCAAACATCTCTTGTGAGTTTGTTATTAGCTTTCTATTCAAGTCTTTAAGCTTAACAAGTTTGTCTATTCTTATTTTATTTAATGATTTGTTCAATAGACTTATTAATATTCTTTCTTGCTTATTATTAATTATTTAACATCTTCTTTTGATGTTTTGCTTTATTTTTTTTTAGCCTTTGTTTTTTTATTTTTTCTGCTCTTCTTTTATACAAAATCTTCTATCAGTTACATATATTAGAGATTATTTCTTTTGTCTATATTATTGAAATTTTTTCTATACTGGTTTTATGTTGCTTGTTTATAAATTCTGTTATAGTATTAAAATTTTGAATATATTCCAAAATCAAACCTAATTTGATTTTTTTTTTTCTAAGCTAATTTATCTTTTTAGCTGTAATAATGCATTAGTTAGCTTAGATTTCTTTGCTTTATTGTTTTTTTGTTTTTAGTTATATTTAGGACTTTTTTCTTCAGTATTGTTTTTTTTGCTATTTCTAATATACTTTTACTTATAGTTTTCTATATTTTATTCAAGTTTTCTTTAAACTTTTTTGTATGTTCTAACCTACTTTTTTTCATTCTTTGTGCTAAGTTTTTATTTTTAAGCATTTTGTCTAACTCTTCTTTATATTTTTCTCAATTCTCTTTTGCTGTTTTTTTATATAGAAAAATTGTTTAATATCATTTTAATCTCTTAAGTTTTGACACTCTGTGCCATGTGGTTATATGATTTAATTCTAATCTTGCAACTGTCACTATTTATGCAATTAGACATATTTTGAATCTTTGCATCAATAAGTCCATTTGCAATCTCTTTTGTCATTTAGATTTGATTAATTCTTGTACTAGATTCACTATTTGTTCATAAAAATTCTTATTTTTTGGATTTTTTATTCTGAATAAGTCTTTGAAATCCTGACTAATTAGCTATTTTAGAATTAGTTTTTTTTTAAAAAAGCTGTATTTTAAAATACTAGACCTATCTAGCTTTGCAGTTTAAGTTACTCATGATTACTATTTGTATTTAGTAAGTTCTTTTAATATATCTTTTTATAATTGCCTTTTGGATTCTTTTTTGTTTTTTTTTGTTATTAGGTAGCATATATATTATTTTAATTATAAGTTCAAGTTGCTTAAATATGAAGTTTACTACTATTATATATTTATTAACTTTATCTATTTGGTCAAAATATTTTTTTTATCTTTCTTCTATTAGTATTTTAACCTCTAAGGTTTCTTTTTTAATGTGTTTAAATCTGATCAGAACTTCTATATTTGTTTAAATCTTTTAAGAAGAAAAAACTTTTTTTTTTGCTAATATTTGTTTTTGCCAGATCTAGTATATTAATTTTATTGTTTAAAACCTATTTATATATCAATTTTATTAATATTATATTATGTAATGTTCAGTTTCAAATTGCTTTTTTAATTAACTCTATTAGTGATGCTTCTTTGTATATTTTTTCTTGATTAGAGAGAACTTTTTTACTATTTTCTAATATTTTTGAAATATCTATTCTTTTTGTACTCAAATTTTTTGATTTAACTAAGATATTTTTTAAAAACTATAGACAGAATTTATCTGCCTATTGTTTAAACTGTTAAGTTTTTTTAATATTTTTTTGTAGAAAAAATTTATATATAGCTATGGCTATATGTAGTCAATACTATATAATTTATAGTATATTATATATATATATTTTTTTTTTATTAAGATGACCTCTTTGGTCTTTTGACTTTTATTAATCACTTATTGGTATTGTGGTTTAATGAACCACTACAGAA